AAATGCTTAAATTAGAAATATATGTAAACATGTAAACAAAGCGAATAAACAAAAAAATACTTATCGTTCGGGTACCCATGATCACTCTCTGTATAGTTAGATATATCAAAAAATGTGATAATATTTTAAATACTTAGTATAAAAATGTAAACTATATCTATACCTTAAAATCACTTTATTTAATGAAAAAATAGAAAATAAAATATATAAATTTATATATAATGTGAGAACAATAAAAGGTGAAAAATATTTAATTATTTTTTAAAAAATGCTATTACTTCAATAAGTTGTCATCTTAAAAATTTTAAATCATAATAGAATTAAAAACTTTTAGATAAAATTTATTTTTCAAAACTTTATACAACATTTGATGGTATCTTAAAAGAAATGAAAATATTAGGAATAGGTACTTTAAAACTATATAAAGGTTTAACAAATGAGAGATTAAAAATTATCTTATTTAATAATACCATGTCTTTAAATAAACCTGAAGAATTATTTTAGAGAATTTTTTTGGATTTATCTGCTAAGATGTTCATGAGATGATAATTATTATAATTAATAATTGACCAATATAAATATATAGAATAGGAATTTATTTTTAAGAAATTTTAATAAAAAAATGATCAAGACAGATTAGAAGATAATCAATTTATCTTTGAAATACTATTTCTATCAGATATTAAAAGTGAGGTTGAACTTAATGCAGATATTTATAAAAATATTTTAATAAGACCTCTAAATTTGTAAAACTAAGACACTTTATTTAAGAATCTTAATAAATATATCAGATAAATATTTTTTTAATTATTTTATTATTAAATGAATTTCTACTTAATTTTTAATTTTTTTAGCAATTTTCAAAGGAATATAATATTATGATCAAAAACTTGAAGAAAATGAATTAAAGAATATTTGTCTAATATATAATATTGATATATCTAGAAGAAATATCTCTAATTATTTTGGATGTTATATAGCAATTCAATCAATATTTGATGCTGAAAATAAAGAAGTTAAAGTAATGGTAATTTCATTAGCTAGAATGTGCAACTATTTTAAAATAATCAAGGAAAAAAAAGAAATATTCTTAATTTAATTATTGAATTGTAGATGATAGAATTAATAAAGATGATGCAATACAAGACAAAATATATTTATATTTTTATTATAACAATATTTTTATATTTTTAAATTGACATTTAATTTAAATTGTATAATTATCCAATAGTTTTTATAAGGTTTTGCAACTATTAAACAAAAATATAAGAGGCCTTTGCAAGAATTTTCATCTTCTGAATTAAATACAAGTAAAAAGAAAAAAAGAAGGAAAAAAAAATAATTATAAATAAAACTTATTATACAAATTGTACTATATAAAATTAATTGGTTTTAAATGTAATTTTATTAACAAACTAATGCTCAATGAAAGTTATAATGCCTGATAATGATTTTTGCCTGATAAACTATTTATTATAGTTATTGTTTTATTGTAAAAAAATCACGGGATACTAGATAAATTATATGTATCAAAAAATATCAATATTCTGCTTGTCTACTGATATTCATTCAGTATGACTTAACTGAATTTTACATTAGATATTCCTGATCTCAAGAACTGGTTAAAATTCATGTATGCATATCGAATCTAAATCAAGATAAAATTAGTGTAAGTTAATGCTAATATTAGGTATAATTTCTTTTATGTCTATATTCATAGAATTGTTTCATCTAATCTATTAAATTTTCGGTTTAATTTATTAATTACGAGAAATTTTAACATTCACGAGTAGCCTAGATTACTATATGGGGAAATCCTCTTTTTAGTTAAAAATTTTTTTATTGGTTCACAAAACTAGCTTAATAACTCAAAATTTGTAGATTTCCCTTTTTCTATTGACCTCCCCACACAATGTATATAACATGAGATAGTATATTTTTTTTCTTAAACATGTATTGCATTTATTGACTGAAATTGTGTGAATATTATTTATATAAATATATTACAAAAGATGTTGCTAACTTCATTTTTGAATTGTACAACTTGGAATCTGCAAAAAATGATCAAAAAAAATAATGTAATTTAAAAATATGATAGGAGTTACTTGAAGCAGATATAACAAACAGTTGGGTACGACACAGTAAAGAAAGTAGAATCCTTGTTCGACATATTAGCTTGCTCAATTATTTATACAACTAGTGTCACTTCTATAAAAATTATTTTGTATTTCTTGTATAATCCGCAAACACAAATGAAAAATGAGTTTTGTTACATAAAAATATAGGATGGGGCGTAATTCAGATTTATCATCGCTATTGAACATAATATAATAAACGAAAAAAAGAAGTCTATAGTAAAAATTTCATTTGTTGTTAAAAGAAATCGCTTAAAATTAAAAAAAAAAGAGAGAAAAATAAATAAAAAAAATTAATAAAAATATAAGACTTACTGGGCAGCGACCCACCGTCACGAATCCGAAAAGAGCCTAAATAATTAATAATTCAAATAAACAAAATGTAAAAAAGGAATGAAAGAAAATAAAACATTGCCTATCACATACTGGAAAATTAATCACCTATCGCTACAGACCAAAGTTATAGAAGGCCGAAACTAACAAAAAAAAAATTATCTAATATTTAGTGAAAGTTATTCAACTCGATAGAGAAACCTAAAGAAAAGAAAAGGAGCAGTTTCGCCAAAAAGGCAATGTTCGATTGCTAGGCCGAAGAGATCGAACTTTAATGTTAGGCCTTTCTCTTTCACTTTTAGAATAAATTTTATTTAGAAGGTGCAGGCTAAGATCGACATTATTTAAACAAGATTTGACAATGATCAAGATGACGAGTGGTCAAATATGTTTATTAGATAGAAATTAAAAATTGAATTATAAATTACATAAATTACGAGTTAACGTTAGAATTAGGATTAGGGTTAGAGTTAGAGTCAGATTATGGTTTTATAATATGAGTTTATCATTAAGATTAGTGTTAGGGATAGAGTTAGGGATGAATAATTTATAAAAAAAAAAAAAATCAAATAAATTGTATTTATTTTAATTTCTTTGATATGCAAAAACTTTAAATAGCGAACTCGCCCGAGTAAACCACTAGATTAAATAATTTATTGCGAAATTCAATTTATAATTTTATGGGAATTAATAAAAATAAGTTTATTTAAATTTGGACGTGAATAATTGTCAAAAAATTTTATTCTTTCATATGTTTTGTAACTAAACATCTAATTTAACTTCCACTTCATATAGTTTAAGACTTTTTATAATTGTAATACGCTGTGCTAAGCAAGTATATATGTCATTTTACGTCCAAAAAGAGATTCGATTTTTTTACGATTATCGATTAAAATTGATTTCGTTTCGATTTTCGATCATTTCGATTTTATCATTTTGAAGATCAACAAAATCATATTTAAGCCTTATCATACATACTAATTCGATAAACAATATTGATTAATGCTTGAATAATGCCCAATATTATATATTATCTTGATAGTTATGAAAAGGTTCTTTAATTAAACTAATAATACATATTCATCGGAAACTCGTGTAGCCTGAATTTCATAATACGTACGCAATTACCTATTATATAATTGTCAATTACTTTCGAATAAGGTAAAGACCTCAGGTTTCGACGATGTGCATGAAACTCTTTATAAATATTTAACGAAACGAAATAAACAATTCAGTATTAAATTTCTGATCTTTTCTTGCGGTAGAAAGTATTTATGGTAGTATAAATTATTTTGGGTAAATTTTTTGAATATAGGCACGAAAGTGTTTAAATTTCTTGAATATACCATATTAGATAGATAAAGAAAGAAAGAAAGAAAGAACTACGAAATGATTAAAGATATAATAATGGTATAAAATGCTGTAATAGAATCCGAAATTTTGAAGTATCTAATAAATTGACATCATTAAATAATAGTTTATCAGCGGATATTTTTTTTTTGATAAAATCATCAATACGTGAAAATAATATTTTTTTTTGCATTAATAATAGACAACAAACATTTATTGATGAAACCGAATATAAAAATCATAATTGTAAAGATATTTTGAATTTTATTTATATAATCAGTGACTAATACTATATAAAGAATTAAAATAAACGTAACTCTATAACTTTATTTTCTAGAAATTATTAAATATTAGAAATAGTTGATTAAATATAGAAATTATTACTATTAAAATGAGTTGTTAATGAAATAAATAGATTAGATTAAAGTTTGGCATATGCACAGCCTATAAAATTAGTATTTGGATTACCAATATAGATAATCATAAAGGACAATTGAGGTATACTGCCTGGTGCTTGAATTTCCACCGTTTTGGTATACTGGTCACCAGCTTTAATTGAACATCTACTTCCAGTACAAGCAGGAAATTTAGCTAGGTGATTTTGACCGTTATCATAAAATTCAATCGTAATTTCGGTACTTTCGGTGATATCTCTCGCAAATTTTCCGGGAACTTCGGGTGTAAGTGTTATTTGGAGTAAGGTTGGTGGGGACATTGATTCATCTGGACATTGTTTAAAGGCGATGGCTCTTCTAAGAAGGTTATGTGGAAGTGCATTGACCATGAAGAGCGTGACCAATAAGAGGAATGCTAAAATAAATTTTCGGTTCCTGATTATGATTTCTTTGAGAAGTTGAGTTTGTTGAGTTTTTTTTTTTTTTTGGTGAATGTTAGTAAATAAGCTTGAATTTAGAAAAAGCATGATTCTTAAATTCAGAGTAAATAGAAATCAGTTCCTTTTTATAAAGAAAAAAAAAATGTAAAAAACGATAAAAAATTCGTATTCCTTTTAAATTGTAATTTACGAATCAGTAGATCTAGTTTACTAGCCCATTCTTAGTATGAAAACTATTCTTATGTGATTTTCATATCAAATTCTATTTTGTTTCACAAACTTATTTGTGTTATAAATCATAAAGTTTAGTACATAAATTTCGATATTGGAATTTTAAATAGAAAACCAATTTAAATAAATCATTTCAAAAATCGAGCATCATTCTTTAATTTAATAACTTACGAACTTGACGACATCCGTATTGTTTTAAAATAGTAAAAGTAAAATGAATATTATTAATGAAATCGAATTAATTGTAAAGAAGAGGTATTGGAGTAGAAAAAAAAGATAAGTGAAGGTTTTTTAAGAAAACAATACAATAATGTATCAAAACTTAATGTATCATACAAATTTAATCAGATTTATACTATTGATCAGCATGCATCCTTTTTTTTTTTTTTTAAAAAAAAAAAAAAAAAATAATTCGATTATTTAAAAAAAATGATTTTAGAAAAAAAATTCAATATAATAATGCAAAAAAAAATCTCGTTACTTCGTTAAGTATATCGATGAAGAAAACTTTATTTTCCATGACTCAAATTTCCTAAATTTTTCTCATCATATGACCGGAAAAAGTAATTAATTGACTTTGGTATTTCGTCGATAATCAATAACGATAACACTTATTAGGGTTTCCGTTTGAAATACAAATTTCATATCAAATATTTGAAAGTTTTTTAAAATAATTTCAAAACGAATATCGAAATTATATTCGGATATCGAAATTAATTTCAAATATCGAAAATCATTTCGAAAAGAATATATAAAAAAAAATAAAAAGAAAAAATTATAAAAAAATAAATAAATTAAATAAAAAAAAAAAGAATGGACCGAAGAAAAAATATATCGAAAAAACCAAATACAAAAAAAAAAGAATGAAATACGAAAAAAATAAAAATCGACCGAATTGACGATATTCGAAATCAATTTCGATATAGCTATGTATCAAGTAGATTACTTACTATTGAGGATTCTATGTCGTTGCTATGTGTCCTCTTTTTGATAACGGTTCAACTAGCATTTCTCAAGTTGGAACCTATCCCGAACATAACTTTTTAAAAGATCCTAACGATCTCAGTATAAGAAAGTGCTGATGCAAATTAGTATCAATTTATTTATACACGACTTACGTCATAATTATTTAATTTAAACTATATATATTGTATATCTTTAAAGTATATATAATTTCAACCGGTTCGAATAATTGGATATACCGTTTATTACACATAATTAATTTCCAACAAAAGTATTAAAATGAAATTGTAAGTTAAGAGCGGAATTCATTTTTGAAAGGTTATAATTAATAGATCATGAATATTCTGCCGAAAGTCTGACACAATACTAGAATTACACTTGTGAATGTACATTTTTATTAACGACTTTAGAAGGCGATAAATTGTTTCTGCCTTTATATACAAATACTTAACGCTTAAAAAAAATACATTTATGTAATTTTATGAATTTAATAAACAAAAAAAAGTACTAAAAGTTCTATAAGAGCTTATTAAGATTCATATTATTCATATGTTACATCATAGACGTTTTTATAACGAGATTTATATAAATTATCAGTTAATCATTAGAAATTTTTTTTTAAATAAATTATTAAGCTATTGTTGTAATCAGTTCTTTCGTTTATGTATTTATAAACAATTTGTAATATAAGCAGAAGGTAATAATTAAATAAAAATGAAGTAATATTGACAAAGAATTTATTTAATTATATCAATTTGATCAGTGTTGCCTCAACGTCGGCGCTCTACACTTTCGCTTTTTCAATATATTAAGCTAAGTAAATGCCAACTAATTAATTAAAACTACGCAATTACGAAACTTTTACATAAAAATTGTATAACAAATTACTAATAAAAATCGGAAATTAAAAAATAAAACAATAAACTGTATTACAAAATGCGAAATTATAATTTTAAAGGACGAAAATCGAAATTATCGTGAAGGTGTAAAGGGAATATAGCGAAGGGAATGATTGTCAAAGGAATATATTAAAGGCGGGCGTGGATATTGAGCTGTTTTAGGATTTCCGGCTTGTATTTATAAAAGATCTTTAATAAAGCCAAACTGGCACCTTGACAAACTGGTATCGTGACAAACTGGCAAATGATCATCAAAGGGACTAACTGCATTTATCAAGAGCGATCTTCAACCGAAATTATGAAGGTTTCGGCCGGAATTTGCATGTAATCGTAACACTATTTTCAATGTGGTTACACAAAAATCGACAATATTGGTCGTTTAGTAGCAATGGTTTGTTGATGTTTGCATTGCAAGCTTTTATATATTGTCGTTCCACAAAAAAAAAAAAAAATTAAAGTTTAAAAAAGCTTAATGCATTTATCGTGCAATCATTTAGACAAAAATGATTATAATCTTTGAATGTCAATCTAATGAACAATAAAATTTGTTAGTCTGACGAAGATAAGTGTTAGGGTTTCCGTTTGAAAATAGTATATTCAAATATTCGTTTGTAAATAAATAAAAGTCAAATATTCGAAAATATATAATTAATATTTGAAAATCGAAATGATTCGGATATCGTAAATTGTAAAATTGGTTTAATTTCATTTAAGTTTCTTTACAGAAACTTTGTTTCCTTACTATGCAGTAACTGCATAGTACCTATTAGGCTGCGATTAAGCTACTACTAAGTAAGATAGTAACTATATATTTACTTTATAGTCACTTTGCAGTTACTGCATATTAAGAAAACCAAGTTTCTGTAAAGTTACTATATCACAAAAATACACCATTTAAAACTCACAAATATTAATATAATAAACTATTTGTCCCAATAATATTTCTGCTTTATTAATTTGTCATAGTACAATCAAATCAATTAAATTTTTTAATTTTTTACAAGATATATAAAAAAAAAATTATTTTAACCATTCTTTTTTTTTTTTTTTAATAAAATTTACATAGTTTCTAAATGTCAAATAATAAATTTTTTTTACTTGCAATATAAGTTATAAACGTATTCATTACCTTTCCAAACGAGGGAATTTCTTTATCAGGGACATTATATGACGACTCTAATTGTTTCAAAGAATCAAACATCTCTTGCATGGTTGGACGATTTTGAGGATCTTGATCCAAAGCTTTTTCCATGAGCGAAAGATAATCTTTTGGAGCATCATGATTGACAATTGATTTTTCTTCCGATAGACATTCTTGAGTTGAAATCTCCAAAAGTATAACTCCAAAACTATAAACTTCACTTGCTGATGTATACTTTCCTCCTCGTTTAACTTCGGGAGCTGACCATTTTGAATAATTTACTGATCGAGCCTGTTTTAAAACTACACATTTGTCTGCATCTTTACCAAATTCATAAAGTTTTGGTTCGAGATTCTGATCCAATAACACGCTGTCACTTTTGATGTTGTAATGAAGTAAATTTAAACCGTGAATAAAATTCAAAGCATTGGCAATTCCACGAGCGATTGAAATTTTGGTCCTCCAATCTAGTTTGTTTCCTTTTAGATAATTTGAAAGGTTATAGTCAGCGCATTCGGTAACCAACATAATGGCATATTCATTATTGTACCATTGATTTGCACGATTAATAACAGCGCGCAAAATGGAAGAATTCTTGTCAAAATCTGATAATACTTCACGTTCAGTATATCCTTTCACCGAGAGAATATTTTTACATTCATCCGACAAATTCCTTAAATAAGCTATTTCCTTTTTAAATTCAGCGAATTTTTCAGAATTTTTTGATAAGATTTCAACAAATTTCTCGACAACTTTCTTTTCATAAAGGGTTCCCATAAACTCGTCATTTTTATTTTGACCTTTCGAAATAATATGATCTCGCGGAATAAAATCTGTCCGAATAATAGGTTCACTTGGCTTCTCTTCGTCACATTTATCTCTCGTCGATACAATTAATTCTGGAGTATCAACAGTTGGTTTCTCATTTTTAAGAGAATTCATTCGTTCGAATTGTTTTTTCATAACCATCAGCTTTCCAATCGTTCTTATTTTTGAAATGACTGAAGGATTCCACCTACTAACTTTCTTGATCTTTAGAGGTTCATATGCTCGCTGGAGAGCATTAATAACAATTTCTAAATCGAGAACGAACTTTTGAATTGATTTTTTCACCAAAGATTGATTTGCTTCTGTTTGATCATACATTTTGAGATAATCTTCAATTTCGTAAATCAAGTTTATAAAATCATCATATTCTTTAGTTTCGATCAATTTATCTCTTTTCTCGATAGGTAAATTTTCAATCTCTTCTAATATTTTAATGACGTGTTCAATAAACCCGATACACTTTTCACATAATTCATGGTCGCATTTTAAAGTATCAAATGCCTTCAACACATTTTTGGTAATATCTAATACGGAATTTATTTCATATTTCGAAGTTTTTAGTAGAAAACGTGAATATAAGGATTTTGTATCTTTTGGTACAGGTGGAATGAATGACGCTAAAAATGATGTTATGTCGTTGATTTTGACCATTTTAAAAGATTCGTTGAAAAAATTATTTTGATTTTTTTTTTTAAAAAAAAATTTACGAAGTTGTAAGAGTATGATATGTTTTGACTCGATCTACGAGTTTATAAAGATAAAAAAAAATTTTTTGTAAACTTGATCAACAAGTTTGAAGAGGAATAATAAATGAGATATAATTTTTTTTCCTGCTTGGGTTGGAAAGAAATCAAAGTTCTATTTATATTTAAAATTAATTAACTGCGTCGTGTATGAAATCTGAGCATACGATATCTTTTCAAACAAGGATCGGTTTGGTGTTTCATTCATTATGTCCCAATTAGGATATGGTCGATATAATAGTCCAACTTTAATGTCACACCAAGTTATTGATTTCCTGAAAAAGTCAATGATCTTTATTATTGTATGCACGTTAAGAATTTAACCTTTGTTCCCTTAAACTTTGTTTTAAATCACCATATGGCGCATAATCTTTTATCAAATAAAATTAACGTTTTTGTTTTCTTCCTTTTTTTAAATAAAGAATTTTTGCAAATCGGAGGGGCAACTTAATATTCTTTTGCTATTTTAAGGGGTAAATTGATGATCGTTCCTTTCCAGAATTGGGACAAGGTTGGATCGACAAGCGTAATCTAACATCCGAAAATATTTTCTCGATCTCCGGATACTGATTTCCGAAACCTTTAACATTGTAAAGGATTTAAAATCTACATATACTTGTGGCACGAGAATCGATTTACATTTAGTGTTTTAGCTTATTTTCTATTTATAGTTTCTTCCTTTTCTTTTGTTATTGTTTTACTAATTATTGTTCGTTCCAAGTCGTCACATTTTGGTTAATTTCCCAAATCTCCGAACAAGTGATGATTAATTTTTTTTAAAAAAGATAACAAGAAGAGTTTTTTACGTTGTAATACTATTTGGGCATGAATGTTCATCTCGGGAGCACATTCCGCTAATGATTGCTTCAAATAGCTGAATTTATTACGAATAAATCGCAGCGAAAATTTTAACGAAATATCGGATGAACAATCAAAATCACAGACCTTTATGAAAGTTGAAACTTTTAAAAGCATAGTATTCATGAAATCATTCGGTCAAGTGTAAAGGCCTTCTTCTTGTGTCTATAATATATCACAAATTTTTTTTTAGAACCCTTTTGAAAACATTATAACCATCCAAAAAGTACTTTCTGGACAATTATAGTGATACCCGCCGTTGAAATTTTCTAGCTAATTCAGCAAAATAAAAAATTTCAATTTTTTTAAGCAGAATGAATCCTGGCAATTTTAATTGTGGCATTTTAATTCCGCCTACACATATATTCGTTTTGTAACATTTATAATCAATATTTTAAATATAGTGGCACCGGAAATTATTTGGAATATATCACGTGACTTTCACGTGACAAGATCAACCACTAAAATAAAATAAATCTAAAAAGTAAATAATCAACTTTGTTCGTCTTAACAATAATAAAATTTTCCCATAAACTCTTGGCAGTTTTCTTATACATTTTGTAAATAATTTATCTTAAATGTTTTAAGTAATCTGATTGTTATACATTGCAAAATTATCCGACATGTATAAACCTTACATCTTGGAAAAAAATATCGTTAAAAGTTTTAATTATTATTTACGGTATTATCTAACGTTATTTGAAATAGCCGGCGAAAAAAATTCAAAGATTGAAACCTCGAAACCATTGCGTTATGAGATTATAAACGTTATAACTGGCATAATGGAACTTAAATTCCCGCAGTAAATTTCGATTGCTGCGCTTTCAAGCATAAAACTTCAAATCATAGTTGTGGTCCGTGCCATTAAAATCATAAAATAATTTAAAATAAAAAATCCTAAATATCTGATTCATCTTTATCTATTCTAAAAACACAGTATATGTTTCAATTGCTTTAGGTTGGCCCCAGGTCATTAACTCGGATCAGGTCATAATTAAATCAAAAACCCGAATTCGAATTAAAACCAACCTGTCGAGTCTGAGTCATACATTTGTTTGACTTGATGAATGTATTATTTATTTAATGATTTGATTTATACTTTTTATGCGCGAAGTATTTCTTGTTTTGCATTTACTAATTTACCCCAATCTCCGATTGGCTGGTATAATTGAGATTAGTTAGGGTTAGGGTTAGGGGTTAGGGGTTAGGTGGTTTGTCACCGATGTGACACTGATGATTTTTCAATTTTTATTAAATTTTGATTTGTCACCTATTGGATGTTATAAATAAGCATAAACAATTATAACAGCAAATCAGAACTTGGGGGTAGATTAGTAAATTCAACAAAAACAAAAAAGCCATGAGCCTTTTAAGCCTCCTTATAATGTTGTATGATGATTCTTTGAATCGGAAAAATTTTTTATAAGCGTATTGCATTATCGTTTACAATTAACAAATAAAAAAAAAAAAAAAACACAGAATTAAGTAATTTTTTTTGGTAGAAACCATACTCCAAACTTTCTCGTACACAACATAATCATAACCAACCGTCGCCTTTTACAAATATTTTTATTCATTGTAACTAATCATCTAGAGAAGTGAATCTGCCCACAGCTACGCATGAAAAAAAAACCTTTTTGCGGCATAATCCGTTTGCATAACCTCTATACAGTTATCTAATTTTGGTAATCTAATGCTAATTTATTATAGAGTTCTCCAAGTTACAGTTTTTTAAACGTCTGTTACATGAAAACATTCGATTTTTCACACATTTAGAATTCAAAATTTCCCAATCCTTTTTCTCCATGTTAATTACAAAAAAAAAACCGATTTGTTCACTTTTAACTTTGAATAAAAAAATTTTTTAATTATTGTAATAATTACATGGCGATCAACAAGCACTTTACAAGTATTTTAATTATATATAGTACATAGTTGGCATTTGGCCGTGGCCAAGCCTAATTTTTTGACCGTTGGCCGATTTGGCCGATTGGCCAAAATCAGCGGCCATATCGCCAATCGGCCAAATCGGCCAAATGTCACATGACTGCCAATTTTGGCCGCGGTTTATTTGCAAATTGCAATTTATTGAATTTATTGCAAAATTGCAAAAAAAATTGATGTCTCTAATGTTCAGAACGTTCAAATTTCTTGCAACTAAGCAAAAAATCGACGCCACCGACGTTCGGGATTTTCAATTTTTTGCAAAATTGCAAAAATTGACGCCGACGTCATCATAATCGACGATTGATTCACATGGTGTGATACATTATTTTCTCCGTAAAAACTCTTTGATTCAGGAAGAATCATAAAGCGACGATGTGATGGTAAAGGAATTGGTATCATCGGCGTGACCACCGGTAGGTGGCTATCAAACTCCGACTGAACGTTTTCTTCAATTCTGTTCATGAGCTCATTGGAAGACGATGTCATTAAAATAGATGTGCCCTTCTCAACGAATTTGCTCAATCGACAAATCATTGTAAACTTTGCATGATGTTCTGAATGTGGTCAATTTTCTTGGATCAGGGAGCCTAGATGATGACCAAAATAGGTTTTATGCATCGATCCAATCTAATTGCGTCCTTTAACTCAATGAAAAGCTGTAAAAGCTCTGGAGAATTGAAATGTTCTTTGGATTCAAATAACATGCAGAGGATTTTTTTCTCCAATTTCTTTATTGTCAGTTTTTCAGTAATTTCATGCCTGATTGATTCAATTGAACCTCAACTTCACTGAGGCGGTATTTTAACAACTCTACCTGTTTGTTTTTGCGAGGCGAGTTGTCATATTTACAAAGTTGGGGGTCGCGGGCTTTCCAGATTCTGCATCACCATCACATTTTATTAGGAAGGCGTGATGTTTATCTGTCGGTATATTCGTGACATCGCGTTTCGATTTTTATTATGATTTCGGAGGACTTAGTTTCTTTAGGTTAGGGTTTGACATGTTTGTCACTCCCTTATTTATTACCCAATTGGTGTAACCTGATACAGAGGTGCCATTTTATTTTACCGTCGATAGCGTTGACATGCTTTGCAAGTAAATTGCTTGATTGATTTGGCTTATTGTGTCGAGCAGTTGTTGGCTGTCATGGTTAATTTATTTTGAAGTTTGAAATTGTTGTGATCGTTTAGGGGACAAAATAAAATACAAATGATTAGAAATGTTCTGCATTTGCGACAATAAACAATAAATTATTATGAATTTAAGAGAGGTATAGTTTGAAATGAGATGTCGAAAAAATGAGCGAAAAAATAAAATTATTTTTTTATGAAAATAAGAATATTTAAAATATTATGGTTTCTTATTTAAGAGAGTTTGAAAAAGAAAAGTAAGTTTTTTCCATTTTAAATAGATAAAAAATAAAGTTTTCTTTTTTTTTTTTTTTTTTTTTTTTTTTTTTTTTTTTTTTTTTTTTTTTTTTTTTTTTTTTTTTCTTATTT